ATTCAAATTCACCATTTCTTGCCAAAGCACATCTTAACACCAGCAAAAACGGAAACACACAGAAATACAGACCAAGGACACAACTAACCCCACCCAGGAGTTCTGCTCTACTTTTAGAACATGTTTATCCCTGTGCACTATATATACACACTAACTATACATAATATATTATATCCAGCCGACTCTGTTATGGGCCTCAATCTAGAGCTGGGAAAAGAGCCATCAAGACAAAACCATCAAAGTCACCAAGGCCCTCAGAAAATAATTTAATCCCATCTTCATTAGTGTATGTACTGCATCTCTGTGCTTTACACTTGTGCACATGTACAAAAAGATTGTAATTGACGATATGACAAGAATAATGCAACACAAGAGTACAGAAGAGGGAACACTTTAATTTTAACTTTATAGTAGATATAATTCTAGCAAAAGAAAGCATACTGCAGGTGCAAGATTTATAGCTCCCCAGTGTAGTGAAATTAGTTTAAGAGATCTAACAGATTAGTATATTACTATCTGCAGAGCTTGTTTGTGTCAGTAACTGGGAGGTAGCAAAATTGAATACATTAGAGCACAGAGAACTCAATAATGAGCTTATGAGATCCATACAACTCAATTTATTTTAAGTCAATAAAGTTTAAAAAAACACCAGTTTGACATATTTATTACAGTAGAGCAAAAGGTTTGGTAGTTAATTATAGTTCAGATTGGGACTGTCAGTAGTGGATATACTGTACGTTAGGCATCAAGGGGAATAGAACATAGTTTATTCTCCACATCTCTGCATAAGACCATTCTTCAGACATCTGCATCAGTCACAGAGATTATGGAAGAATAAAAGGTAATCGGGGAACCAGACATTTCAATCTGACAGTATTGTAAATAAAAATTTGATACAGATGATCTAAGTACTACAACACATCAGAAAAATGTGGATAGTACTGATATCTTAGAGAGTACAATGGAGAAGGAAACATCATTAGATTGGCTTGACTAAAAACAAGACTGATTTCTTCCAACATATCCCACAGCCCAAAAACTGCACTTCATGAAGTCAGAAGCATGAGGTTCGGGAGTTTTCCTCTGCCATGTGACCTGCAGCTCACCTACTTAGCAAAACCCTTACAAGAAGACCAAGACACAAACAAACACAGGGAGGGAGAATGACAAAAAATCTATACATACAGTAAATGTATCACAGGAGCAGATTTTCAGATATTGGCAGGACAACCAATTCAAGTGTACAAAAGCCTTTTAAACTTAAGATCTGCACTACCAGAGCATCAATTACACATGCATGCAAGACTGGAGCGCATCCACTGAACAGCAAATGATCCGTACAGACCAAAGTGCCAATGTTAAATGACTCGGAAAATGAACCTATGTGTCTATGTGTAGTTCGGGACAGTAACTGGATATGATTTGAGTTGCATATAAAGACAGGGAATTTGCTATTTAATGGAATACAGTACAGCAATTTAAAACGTACATGTTTACAAATCTTCTTAAAACCGAGAAACATCAGAAACTCAAGTTTGTAGAGTTTGTGCTTGGATTATGATTGACAGAAAAGAGGAATATTGTCCTACATTATTTTTATTGAATAGATAATTGCAATAACCTACAGCTTAACTTTCAAAACGTCCGCCAAAAAAGAACATGATTAATGAAAGCTCCCAGAGCAAGGAAAAAGTGCCAATCTACTCAAGCAAAATTTTGTGAAAATTCAAAGTTTTGAATACCAAAATTTTAAAGAGTCACTTCCTGTGCTTTTGTCCATTATCAGTATGACACCGATAAACTGCACAGTACAGGTAGCTATCACCATTGAATAGTAATAATAATAAAACAGCACTAGCATAAAGTCTCACAAGCTGATGAAAGACGTTGTCTCGGTACCCAGCATCAGTGAGGGTGTCCATCAGGTGGTTCCCCAGACCCTAACCTACATGCATATAGGTACAATTCATAAAAAATGGATTTTTTTCTAAAAGCGTCTGTCATCCAAAGACTTTAGACTTGACAAGACTGTTATATGTGCATTTATCTAATAACTGCCCATCATTTTGTCTTCAAACATCATGTAGCAGTCCCTATGCTACAGCTCGAAGATAATTTTTCAAATGTATTGATTTTTTGTATTGGGTCTGGACTTTTGAAAAGTTGCCCACATGAAAAAACAACCTTTTCTTTAATAAAATAATCTCTGTAGTTTGACTACTCTGACACTGCCAGGAGTGTGGTATGCATTCCACGTCCAGGACACTTGTGGGACAATTCAATGAGGGAGATTCAGTAGTAAAAAATGAAAGTAAGTGGGAGCTCTGTGAATGGCTCAACTGTTATTTGTGCTCTCCCACACACAGGTTAAGCTCTATGATCATGGGTTTGAGCCTGGGTAGTATCACTAGCTGACTAGTTGCCAGCCTTCCCCACACAGGTGGCTGAGTGCCACCAATGGCGAAGTGGGGATTAGTGGGCTAGGGCTCTCCAGGCTCTGAGTCACCCCTGTGGCCTCATGGGTGCTTACAGGTATGTGGTGCTGTCACTGAGGATGCGCCTCTCCTCCAATCAACATCGAACCTATGGGATGGGGCTGTGGCATGTGTGATATGCTAACAGCTGAATGGCTTCAGGGGGGAGGGCTGAAGTTTGTCAACGCTTCCTCATTGTCCCCTGTGTTTGATTGTGGCATTTGTAGCTGCAAGCTAAGATATGAAAAACATTGTTGCTGTGTGGAGCCTCTGTATTTCTTCCTTGCCATCATTTGATCCTGCTCGGCCTTGCTATGACTTATATACAGTAGATGTGGTATTTCATAGTACCAGCGTGGGGGATGCTGAAAGCCTAGGGTGCTGCAAATGCTGCAGTCAAGTTCATATTGCACAGTGCCTCTATGACAGCTGTCAAAATTCTAAATGCAGACACGAAAAATAAGATAACTAAAACAAGGCTCAGTGTTATCTAAATGTCTATGATAAGACACATTTTCTTGATGATGAATTTTTAAACACTTCTAGGAAATGTTTAAAACCAGCAGGGGAGTGGGCTCGGGTATTGTTAAGTACCATTAATTAATCTCTTTTAAAAAAGTAAAAAAGATTTATGAATTACTGGAGGCGTTTAAGCTTGAAGTCTGACATCTATCAAAGCTGCACGAACACAAGGCTTTACGGCACAACAGAGCCAGGGAAATTCCCCGAGAGAGAGCTGCTCCGTGATACAAGTTAGCACAGCGCCCTATCTAGGTGTTGGCACCACGCTCACCAAACAACAGGCTGGAGTCACCCAGGGCCCTGTCAGCACACAGACTGTCTGGCTGGTGCTCAGGGCGCAGAGTAAGGGAGGGGGAGCAGTATGGACTGGAGCTCAGAGCAGGGAAGGGCACTCCTGATTCACTGATGAAGGACTGGTAGAGAATAAGGCATTTAGGTGTAGTGATTCAAGCTCACATACTGTTAGGAATCCAAAGTCTCCCAACTTAGAGAAGCAAAGTGGAGAGGAACATGCTTTGGTTCTTACAGCGTAAGCTGAGGTCCTTTGAGGACAGTTTTGAATGCTAATGCTTGGAGGTGATAGTTCAGAGGGAGGCAGTTTAAGACAAGTGTGTGAGTGGGAAAGAAACTGTATGTGCCCCTGGGGGAAAAGCTAAGGGGCAGAACATCAGACAGTGCCGAGCAGTGATTGCGCAGGAAGAATTGTGTAAAACTCTGTAACACAGAGGGATATCGGTATTTATCACATAACTGTTTGTCTCTAATTAAAGACAGCTGAAGTCAGAGTCACTAAAGCAGAAACTGCATTCATAGCTGAGTCATTTTTAATAATTTACCACTGCTTATACTTCAAAGCTCTTCACTCCACAATGTAATCTAAATCAACTGCGAAAGAAACTTGGGAAAACCCAAGATTGGCTCAAGTTCTTAGAAAAAAGTCAGCTTTCCCTAATTGTGTTACCTCTGTAGTTTAAAGTATGTTTCACGGACATGATGTGAAGTACACACTAGTGTAACATTAAACCTTGGAAAAATATTGCCCTTTGACAGCAAACTCTAAGTTGAGTCCTAAGGTCAGAGTCTTCATAAATTTACACCACTTCATAGTTCTTACTGGAGAATCTACTGCAGATATACCTGTTAATAGCAACAAGGAAATGACTAGAAATTGTAGTTCATTTATTAACCTCAAGGATATTTACAAAATCTTAAATAAATTATTTTTAGCCCGGGCACATTTTTGACAGTGGAAAACGGTCCAAGTCTCCACATAATTAGATATTATTATTGTAGAAAATGCATGTGATTAGTGAGCATGTTTTTGTGCTTTTACATATTGACCTACAGTACCACTGTGATTTGCCAGGTGTACCAGCTGTTGATACTCCCTGACTAGTACATCCTCAAGAGAGATGTTCAAAAGCAGTGCCAATCCTTCCTACATCACTAGAGTGTATTACAGTACTTACAGTAGATACAGTGTTATGAAGCCTAAGGTAAATATAAAACAGCTGTATATAACAAATACTATCAAGAAGAAAACATCATGTAAGAGCAATCACACTAAACATAACACTTGTCAAAATGCATGTAATAATACTTTTTAGGTTTAGACCTACAGTAGAACTATCGCTGGGGTTCGTTTTTGATTTACTATGAAAACTTATGTACCTATTGATTTTGAAAGAATAATCATAGAGGTTTATGAATGTCATTATATTGTTCTGTTAATTGTTCTCTAAGAGGCTTAACTAGGTATAATTCAAATGAGGAATTGCTGAAAGAGTCATACGTACAGTATTTTGACTTGGATTTGCTATTTCTGGTTCTTTGTCTTTGAAATAGACTGTTGTATGGGTTGTGTGTGTGTATGGGTTATGTACAACAGTGCATTTCAACCTTTTATATAATAGGGACCACCTCTCTAAGCTTCTCCACCTTTGAGGACTACTTTAAGCTAAAAATACCCCATAGAACAAACAAATTTTAATCAATAATGTAAGTTCAAGTCTCAACAAGGACTGGTTGGCATTGCTTGAGTGACTGGTACCAGTCTGAGGAAGGGGGATGGAGAAACAGGGGCTTAGGAGATGAAGGTGATGAACAAAGATGAAAAGGAGCTGACAGATATTAGAACGTTTATCAACAGATCTGCTGTGCTGTACAGATCGGTGGGAGATGTGTGGGTTTTGAATTTGAGATCGCTCACCCAGACAGTTGTGTCCGTCGTGTGCCAGTCTGAAGCCATCGTAACAAGTGCAGCGGTAGTTCCCTGGGATGTTGATGCACTCGTGCACACAGCCCCCATTGTAATCACTCTCACATTCGTCGATGTCTGCAAATAAGTAGATGGAACACCGTCAGGGGACACATTAGAAGCAGCCAACCCTGGACCCCATTTTTCACACATATAGATTAAGTTATATGACACACTTGGTTAAGATGGGTTTTCAGTTTTTCCAAATGAGAAAGTCTGAGGCAGTTCAATCAATTCATCTAATTTAAAGCATGCAGTGTGATGAACTGGTCATTGCACCTGGTTTCAGGCACTACAGTTTATTAAAGATGTTTATATCACTTACTGCACATCAACAAAACATCTAACTTTACAATGTCATATGTGAAACAACAGTACATTTATATGTAAACTATTGTAAGTTATTTAAAATACACATAAAAGCACTTCAGGGAAAATATAATTGGCATTTATTTGCCTTTAGGCATTATATCTATATACAACAGTACATAAAAAAAAACATGTTTTAGATTATGCAATAGGGATTTACAAGCACTGATGAGTAGCAAAATCTATTGGCCAGAGCTAAGAAAATGCGTGACGCTGAAGTAGAATAGATTAAACAGCAGCATGTCAGGACTACAAGAACCGTGAGTGAATGGGTAGATTTATTATTAATAAGAGAAAAAAAAATGAATTTGTGTATTCATATATTTCCAAAAGCCTTTCCTACAGGGAAAAAGGAGGAAATGAATGGCAGAGAAAACAAGTGGATAATGAAAGGAGGAAAAGGGGAACTGACAAGCAAAACAGAAGAAGAAATACAGGATAAAGAGAGGGGGGAAGAGGAAACAGGAGAAAGGCAAAAAGCTTGGAGACAGAGTAAGAGAGAGGGAAAAAAGAGATACAGAGGGAGAAGGAGAAAGCCACTAGAAGAAACAAGGCCGCAGCTGAAACAACACGCAGGCAAGCGGCTGGTTGGCTACAGCAGGATTGATGAAGTGCAGGCAGGAGGTACAGGCAGTCCCTACTCATTTACTGGCCAATTTACAGCAAATTAGCCGGATGGCCTGCCTTTGTTGTTGTGGGGGCTTTGATGCAGAGGTGAGGGCTGCTTAATTTAACCTGACAGGACGGGGAAGCGGCCTGCCTGCCTTCTCCTTAAGAGAAATCAATCGGAGGGAAGGAGGGGGGTGGGGGGGTGGGGTCTTTTGTTCAAGATGAATGCGCAGATCCCCCCTTATGGCAACTCCCAGCAGGGGAAAAACACATTTCAAACGGCAAACCTTTCAGTTATTCCCTATGAAATGGATTATTGCTATCAAAACGAACTTCAAGATAGCAATCCCCATCTCCGGGGAAGATGGACAGTCGATTATAAATGCGCGCTTCACCCTCTCTATGTTTGCCAAATACTTTTATTAAGAATTAATGTAGAATTATTTTTGTAATCTGAAATGGTATTTTTTTCTTCCTAACCCTGACAAGCTTGAATCACCCTATAATGTGCACGCCTTCCTCCGGAATGTGCATTGTTGAGACAACCACCTTTACACGGACTGAGTTCCAAGTGCCTAGAGCACAGTTAGAGTGAAGAAGTGAAACTGCTGCAGCTTCACAGGCCCCGTCCCAGGGATGAATGTTGTGTAGGAAGCCAAGGACACCTTGGCCAAGTCAAGCCCACTCAATCCTGGTAGAGTCTGAACAGAATGTGTGCCAGGAATGTGAATGTTCTTGGGGAATCCCAGTCATTGTTGGCTAACGACAAAACCAACATAGGTGAACAAAGAGGTAATGTCCAGAATACAGGTCTCAACCTGAAATAGTACAGTACCTTTATGGGGAGGCTTGGTTTTGTGTCTTGTGTATCCCACCATCATGTTGCATTTCTACTACAAGACAGTGAAGTGGCAAACCACACAAACAGCACAGCACTGTGCATTGATGGATGAACCCATCGATATTTTTATCCTTGATGAAAAAGTACACTTCCTCAGCTCCCTTCCTTAGGTTTACTGTGAGTCTTTTAATGAACTCATGCTGCAGATATAAAAAAAAACATCTAAATATAAATAACACGATTCAGAATGTGAAAAAAATCTATGATCTCTCTCTCTGTCCCTTAAAGAGCTGCTCATAGAAGTATCTGATTTATTTATTAGTTGTCTAATTTTAGATGAACAAATAAGACATTACCCTCATAACTGACAGCATGAGCTGAACATGAATGTGGTGAAGGAGGTAAGTGGGGGTGGGGAGGGTACAGGAAGGATTCCCTCCTGCTGGTAGCTGGTTCTGTGTACCGGTGGCAAAGCACGCTTTGCATGCTTACGTATGCACACTACAGGATGAAAGAAACTGCCCCTATGTGTTATTTTGAAACCCTGTTTCTGCGTAAATGTGTTTGCATTGCTTGGTTCAACGAGAAGATACAGAATTAAAAACATTCCTGGACACGAAAAAATTATATTGCATCCATCTCTGTGTTATAGCAAAAAGAGCTGGGTGATCTGCATAACATCTGTAAACACGCTCGGAAGAGCGCAAGATACAGCACAGACTCCCTCTTGGACCACTCTCGTAATGAATGACAGTGACGCTGCATACACTTACACACAGGGACATATTTATGAGGCTCACAGTTTGGACACAGACAACATTACCCTTGTCATGCTAAGCATTTGTATCCTGTTAATCAAAATATTCTCATCAACCACATGAAAGACTGCATATACGTCATCTTAAAAGTAGCACAAGCCGATTACTCACAATCTGCTGAAGAATATGTGCATGCGATGCCTCACCAGGGATCTCTGTAGAGATTTAGGCATGTGATATACTTCATCGCACATCCAAAGTATTCCACAGATAGACTATTTAACACTGAAACTGCCCAATGCTAAAAGGCAATTACCATAGGGATACAGGAGAGGTGAATGTAACACTTTATTTACATGGAACTGAGGGTGTGGAGAGTATTGAGTGCAGAAGCGCTCAGTACACAGTGGATGAAAAAGGAGCTCTTCTCTTTTGAGGTATTATCTGGGAAGAGCAAAGCTTCACACCATACATCCACTACCTCAGCAGGGTGCTAATGACCTACATTAGCATTACAAAATGCTGCTCAGTTGCTGTTTTTTAAATTGTATTTGTTTTCCCGCTTGTGACAAAAAGCACCCTGGATGTACCTCTCGGCATGGAGAGATGCTGTCAGGCCAAAGAAAAGCAGAAGAAGGAGCAAATCTAGAATGGGGGAGAAAACATATAAAAGAAGAAGAGTTTCCTATGAAAGCTTAAATCTCCAGAGGTAAAGTCTGCATGTCTGATTGCTATTTGCTTTTAAGGTATTTTTGAGCCAATTTCTTATTTGCACTCAGAAAGAGAAATGGCTATTACTGTCTCCACACCACAAAGTGTCTTGCAGAAGCTGTAGAGTATAAATCTAACTACAGATCATGCTCCTTCTAATCCTATAAAAATACAGAATAGCATTTTCCACACAGATTAGGAGGATGTCCCTACTAATGCACATCAGTGCAACTGGACACAATAGTACTTTCACAACAGAAGAAGTGATGTTGATAGTGGAGTACAGAACAATCAGGTATTGAAAGGTCCTAAAAACTATGTCAGCATTGGTGTCAAACACCAGAAACTGTAATTAGAAATACAAAAACTAGACAGTAATTGAATTTAATGTTTTCCTAATTTGTGCTGTTAATAACTGAGTTTTAATATCAGTCTGCAAATCCTTTTATCCTTTTAAGAACATTATTGTATTTATTTCCAGAATAAATGATCTGAAATATTTTGAGGACAAACAAAAAAGAAACGTTTTTTTTCTTTCAGAAAACATTAAATGTGCAGAGGTATTTATTTCAATTGTATGAATCTCAAACTAAAGTGCAACACACTGCTTAATCTGTGGCACAAAATATATATACTGCTAAAATTTTAAATTGATATTTATGCTGAATATTTAAACCTGCACTACTATTTTTCCCAAACGTAATGTATTTGCAGGAGCTTTGAATGATCTTGGGAAAACAGGATCACAGGGCTTTTATAGTGAGTATGTTTCTTTCATAAACATGTAATCATTTTAAACAAAGTAAAAAATAAAAGTACAAACATAATTTGACATTATGTAAAATGTCATATTCTTTCTTTTCTAAAAAAGATAGAAGGTAAAGCAGCCATTGAATTCAAAATATATGCATTACAGTCAACATCTGAAGCTGGAGATACAAGGCTGCTCGGCACAAAAGTGCCCTAGCAGGGTTAAAAAACCTGTCCTGTCTATTCATTTTACAGATTATAAACAGAATGTTTTCCCAGGGTTACTTCATAACAAACCCTCAGAGCTGCTTTTGATTACACATTTAGAGGAGCTCAGAGACTGCTGAGCACCATGATAGTGCTGAAAGGCAAGGCTCCATACAAGATGCAGTTCAAGGTTTTATTAATTTTTCATTTGATATGAAACATGTGAGATCACCACCTGAACCTGTAAAACCTGCCATATGGCATTGACCCACACTGAATCACGGAGCTTCTGGGTTTTAGTGTTTCACCTCCCACATATGCATGAAATCTTGCAAGTGCATGTGTTTTTGCCTCTTTTTCTATAATGTGAAGTGTGTTAGTCTCATCACTCCTGGGAAAATCTACCAGCATTTAGAAACACATTGTACGTAGAATTATTTGCATCAGAAACTCTCAGAAAAGGAAAAGCTGTCTTATTTAATATTCCTGATTTATGAAATCCATTGTGGAGCCCATATTTTTTGCTCTGTAAGCCCCAGGGATAAATACTTTCCAAGCAGCTAGGTTTCTTTATACATCCATACTTACAGTATTTCATCATTTAAATATTTCAAGCTGTGTTTCTTCTGTACTACATCCTTTAAATGAAGCACTGTCTCTTGTGAGGATGCCATGTGATTGTCTTTCCCTGTCAGAGCATTTAATTGCACTTTCCTAAGTATATCACATGACTGTGTGTGTGCAGTACACATGCGTTTGAGATGTACATTCAAACATACTGTACAGGCAATGCACCTGTTTTCTTCTGTAAAGATAGCCATGGTACTGCACAATGTGATTCTAAGACAGCACGTCAGGAAGAGACACGTGTTACACTTAGTGAGTAAAATGAATCGCCATGACACATTTTAAATGATGACTTATTAGGACCTTTCTAATAATTGGGCCACTGATGTCCATGAACATATTAACTACTAACTAACATATGGCTTATTCTTGTCTTTTGTGTATAGGCTTTCTGGATAGGGAGCATCTCTGCTGCAACCCATAATCTAAATGTATATAACATTGTATGGGTGATTGTGTTATATACAGTATGTGTTACCCATGTATGACCAAGCTAGGCTCTGTGTTCCTGTGGCTGTACTACTGTGTATTTATATATGTATGGCACTTTTATAGAACAGTTTTCATCATAAATAAAGGCTGGATTCAACTTCCTAGAGATGCCCAGGAATAACACTTCAATCGCATGCTGAATGTAGCCATCTCCACGACATTAAGTGCCCTTCAGATGTATCCATACGCCCAATAAAATAGGAACAAGAACCATCATTTAGCAGAATAAGTTATGGATTGAATTATGTGTCCCGCTTAAAAAAGTCTATAAATGTTACAGTATACTATCATCACAATAGCATTGCACAGCACAATGTCCTAGTTTTGAGAAATGAATAAATTGCAGAAAACAAGAGGGTGACATTTATTCTCACCTCTAAGTATTCCTTGAAATAAAATGTAACAAAAACAATTATACAGGAACATTTTCCTATTAGCATGTGCAATGAAAACCTCCTGAGCAAAATATAGAGGTCTCTGCCGATTTTCTGTTTCCATGGGTTATAAAGGGAGGTGATACACAGCTTGTGTCACCAACATGAATCATAGTTAAAGTCAAACAGCTCACTATAGACTGCAGGCAAATCGTCACTGACCTCCATAAGTTGGGAGATGGCTAAAGGAGCCCACAAACAGATGAATATACCACTTTCCACTGTAATGCCTATTATTAAGTCATTTTTTTTAGACTACTGGTATAGGACATCCCTAGAAGGAATATGATACAAGTCTATCTTGCTACCACAGGCTGTGAAACAAGTGGTCTGGGAGACAACCGTAAATCCAAAGGTAACAGCTGGAGATGTCCAATGCCTACATGCATCTTGCACAAAGCGGAGAAGTGTTTGAAGTCACCTGCGTGAGAATGGCATTCATAGCTGGGCTGCAAGGAAGGAACCTCTTTTTGAGGGCAAATCACAAAAAGAGCCAACTCAAAGTTGCTAAACATCATTAGAATTACAGCAGATACTGTAATGCTTCTGGGTTCACGTGGGCGCCCTCGTTGCTGCTGCATCAGGTCGGCCCCCCACCGTCAGGGACTCGAACGCGGGCCTCCAGCGTCACTCAACAGGGACCCAGCCTCTTGAGCCAAAGGGAAATCTCCCATTAGCCCAGCGGCTGCAGTCCCTGCTATTCACAGGCAAGGGCGGTGACATCATTGCGCTGGTAGGCCGGCTTTCACAAACAATGGTGGCCGTAAGCGTTACAATATAATGTCTTGCTCAGGTGAAAATGTCAGGTGACCATTCAATGAAAATGAATGATCAGGTATAATGAAATTTGAGTTTTCTGGAATGCTCATCAGCATTTGGTTTGGCGCAAAAAAAAAAGACAAAGCTCTTTTTGAGAAAACACCATTACCCACTCTGAAATATTGTGAAGGTCTATTATGTTTTGGGACTGTTTTGCATCTATGAGTCTTGAAGCCCTTGTCCAGGTAGGGAATGTCATGATCCCAAAAACATACCAGCACATTTTCTGGTTCTTTATGTCAGGAACCTCAAGCTTGCCAAAAAATGGATATTCCTGCATGACAATGATCGAAAGCGACCACCCAGATCAATAAAAGAATAGTTAATTGCACACAAAATAAATGCTCATGAAAGGTTTACTCAATCTCAAGAGCTCAATCCCATTGAATATTTTTGATTCTAAATCAAGATGGCTGGCCACTAATGGAAATATAAGGGTCAGAAGGACTTAAAGAGTTAAAGTTCTGCATGTAGGAATGTTCCCATCTGAAGTAACAGAACCAACACGCTAGCACGCTACAAGAGGCATCTAGTCAGTGTAATCTTTGCCAGAGGAGGACTTACAAAATACTAACTACAGGGGTGTGAGCAAATGTGTCCCTCATGTTTTTTGGATTTAAATTGTTTATATAAGAAATATGACTTTGTTTTGTGCAGTGCTATTCAGATTACTGTATTACAGTTTTAATATTTTGAAGGAAGAAATATTATTGAATCTATACAGTATATAAAAAGATGTATATCTTTCTGTTATTTAATGTTTTGTTACTGTTTCATCAGGGGTTTGAATAATTTTGTAGGGCACTGTATACACAAGCTTTAGGATGTCTAAAGCAGGCAGACCAGGGCACATCTGAGAGGAGAATTTTGGGGCTCTCTCTTACCTTCGCAATGCTTGCCATCCCCAGTATAGCCAGACTTGCATATGCACTTATAAGACTTCAGGGTGTTCTGACAGATAGCATCGATGTTACAGTTATCCAATGCTTCTGCACACTCATCAACATCTGGGCACAGAGAGAAACAGAGAAAACAGTGTAAAGCAGAATAACAAAGCTGTTGAATAATATGGATGCAGGTTTATAGTATACATTTATAAAGGTACTGTACTGTAGGATTGCATATGACCTATAAACAAACAACAGCAAGATTGTAATTTAAAAAATCTTTTTAATTCTACATATACATTAAAAACATCTGTTTTACTTCAAGGATACCACATGAAAATAAAACATTGTTTTAACTGATTTGTTGAGTTGTGCATGTTTCAACAAAACCAACATAATTCAATAAAATGAACTGCTTGATATAAATAGTACAAAACCTGAATTCAAACAATTTATTTCTTAAATAAAGTCATTCTTAATTTAAAGGTTCTCTGAGCATAGAATTGAAAAAATAAGTATAACAGTCAGCAATGTTAATTCGAGATTAAACATACATACTGGACTCAATGTCCAGAATATGACAAAGCCCCTACCAGATGAATGGCAGTGTAAGTGGTAACCAATGAATACACAGTTGCTAAGAAAGGCCTTCACCACCTTCCCTGGACAGAACTCACGTCTACTGAACTCTGGTGGAAGTGGAGTAATGTGTATTTCAGTCCCACCACGACTTCATCTGAAGATCTGAAGGTAACTCTACTAGTGGAAGGGGATGGGATTGGGCTGTCAATATTTCCCAGCCTTGTGCAACACATGTCCCTGCCTCAAGATGATGTACGCACTATTTTTACTTTGTCAAGCTAAACAAACTCTATGTGTTTCCATGGATAGTGCATGGATTTCTCATGAGACTTCACCTACAGTTTACCTAACACTCCTTTTGTAAATGCTGTAGGAATTCAATCTGTTCTACACTTCACAGAGATTTTCATTAATCACAGCTGATCTCAGTTAACAGCCACAGGTGTTTGGGATTACTCAGTGTAAAGACTGACATGGTTGAACTGCTTCACAATGTGATCCTTATCTGATACTGCATTTCAGTGCTATTAGCCTCTTGTGAATGAAAGGGCATCTTTTATGTGACTTCTGTAGTCTAATACACAATTGAAAAAAATGTGTCACATACAGTATACAGTAAAGGGGAGGAATAATTTAAGCAACTTCTGAAATGGCAGTGGATTGTATTAGCTGTTTTTCAGTTAGGTGTATTTGTATAGCGCCATAGCTTGCCAGAGCAAGCATCCTTTCAAAAGGATGAACTCAAGAGTATCTAGAGTTGTTTAATTTTTTACTCAAGCTGTAATTTGCACAATACCAAGGACAGAACAAAACTATGATAAACACTAGTATGGTCAGAGTCTAAGAAATTTAGCAAGCAATTTAAAGGCACATGACACAATCCCCTTCTGCAGCCTGCACTGGAATTTTCTTTGCAAATAACATTATTTTAAAAAAATCTACATTTTCCATGGTTGATAAATAAAGACATCTAAAGAGAAAGATGCCACTCCTCACAATTGTGAATGGTGCAGGATAACTACACATACAAGTTGCAGGCATCTTGGGTGAAGGCTGGGATACAAGTATGTAAATCACTCATGTGAAATGGCTATTTACAGTATCTTGAATTCTGACACAGA